AGGTGGTTTTAACTTTTAAGCCTCGGGATGAAATCCTATGTTGTGACCATTCGGCATGGTACTATTTTTAAATTTATTTAGTATGTAGTTCTAACTTTTGAATCTGTGGATGAAATCCTATAGTGTTAACCATTCAAATGGAACCTCCTCAGCAGTACTTTCACATAGTACTATTTATCTAGTATGTTAAGTCTGGGAATTAAATCCTATGGTGTTACCATTTAACCTCTTTAGTGGTGCTTTTACAGGATACTACTAGTTTTTAAGCATTTTATCTTTATGATAACATGCAATTTTCAAATTTGACTTTGGCCACGTTTGGGAATGAAATATGACGTACAGGAACAATTGCCTAAATGAATATGTTTATGTAAACTGATCAAATTTTCAGTTGTCTTTCCTTCGCGCAAACTGAGAGATGTTTCGAACTGTTTCTAAGTCTTGTGACGTTCCTAGGGCTTCGAAGTCCTCGGCGAGGAAGGCAACATCTTCCGCATATTTTAGAAAACCACATCTCCAGGATGTAGAGTCAGAGAGAATAGAGAGTGATGATAACGTTACAATCACATCGTCCAATCTTTTTTAGAAAGGGAAAGTGAAGCTACAGTTTGAGTGAATCTTTCCCCTCCGATGAGAGGAACTTCATAGACTTTCGAAAAAAAAAAACAATCAAAATCCTCTTCCAACTGAATATGCAGCCTAAAATGCCTGCTTCGCTCGCTTGACAGCTTTTCCGCTGCAAAACTTGTGAGGTCGACTTGTCTAAAAAGCTTGCTCTGTCAGAGGCTTTACAGCTTTTCGGCTGAGAAACTGACGTAACGTCAAATATTGGTAACGTCGATTCTTTGAAAGTCAAGGAACTTTACTGCGAATTTTAATACTGTTTTAATACTTCGATCCAAGGAGCAGAGGAGAACAAAAAAGGGGCCCTTGGAGGGCATCAACCGCGGAAACAACTCAAAATATTTGAATCTCTAAAGTAAATCAAGACAAAAGACGCTCTTTATGAAATCAAGAGCGTTCAGCAAACGCGATGAACAAACAGAAACAAATATTTAACATGCTGGACTCATGCGCTACAGACATAGTAAACAAATTCCAATTACTGTCTATCGATTGTTTTTAGGTTTTTTGTGACCGCGCGCGGGGGAACTAAAACGGAAGATCGCAGAGATGCAGCATTGTAGGCTAGAAGTCGGAAACACTGATCATACAAAAATTGCAAAAGCGAAAGTCCGCTTCTTCAGATCTTTCAGTAAAGTGTCCATTGAATACCGCCACTACATGAGGTTGTCTCAGGAAGTTCCGGTCGAGGAGGCCAGTTAAATATAGCCTTCTTGTTAAAATTTTCCCACAGTTGTTAAAAATACAAACAATGACATTCATGCGGCTTAAACAAAAGCATGCAATCGTTTATAATGTCAGCGGTAACTATCAGCTGCGAGTTAATTAAGTCACGTGAGAAAACAAACAAAAAGCGCGTAATCCGAAAAAAGTCAGCAATTTCACTCAACAAATACACCACTTACGATTGACGCGCATTGTACTCTGTCACTACTGTAACAAAAATTCTTTACGCTCTGAACATTCTTTGACGGTAACGAAAGCTTTTTGCAATTCGGACTACCCCTAAAGCACTAAAGCCGCACTGAAAATCTCTACGACGCAAAGAGTTGCTCGGCGCCGAACAGAGAGTTAAATTCTCGCCGGAAGCAGACAGTGCTTGATGTTTGCCTAAGGACAACACGCGCCATATCAGGCCACCCTGTCAGCTTTCTATTTTTGCATAATCCAAAGTTTGTAGGATTTACAAAGGTTCTGTGAGCATTAAAAAAGATATGACCAATATTAAACAATATTTTCTAGTTATCAAGATATTTGATCTTGACGCCTTGTTGGTTATTATGAATGAGAGGCTAAAAGTGACGACCCTTAAATTGAATAGAAAAGCCATCAAACGGAAAATCGGCAAATATCCAAACCAATATCTGCAGCTCAAAACAAAGAAGACAACTTTTTTTTTCCAAGTCTCGTGCTTTATGACGTGACGGAAAATTCAAATTGAAATTCCTTGGTCTTTCAAACTCTTCATTTGAGGGAAGTTGCGGTCAACCTTTCATACTTTATTAAAACGTCTTCCGCTTTTTAAGTAAATACGTTAATATATGTTTAGTATTTCTGGCGTAAATGACGTATAATTTGCGATGTTTAGGGGAACTGGAATCTATAATTACCACTCCAAAGATTGCGTTAATTAGCCTCAGTTTAGTCTTTGTAAGAACACTAGAACTAGCTGTGAGTATTATCAGCATCAGTGCTTATCAATTCGTTAAAATTGGCCAATAAAAGTGGCCCTGAAAGAGATCTTGAGGTTATAGTAACAAAACAAAACGCCTCATTCGGCTTAAGACAATGTATCTCGCGGCGGGATCTCACTTAAACGCCCGAAGCAATCGCGTGGTTTCGAACTCAAGAATGGCAAGAATGGGTTGTAAAATAAACAGTCGTAAAGACGTTCAGATGAAATGACAAGTATTGATTCCAAATTCAAAAACCTTAATTTGTGTAATTTGCGTGACTTTACTTTGAAGGATTGTGAAATACCATGAAAATTGGTGCTCGATCATGTTGGATCATAGTGAGAAAAAAAAAAAAGAGAGAAAAAATTTGACTGCTTTAAAAAATGAGTTGACCCTTCAAGCAACCACAATTTCCTCCGTGAAATTTTAAATTTATTGTTATAATAAGGTTGTCTATGAGTTTTGATATAGTCGCCCTCCTCGCCAAGGATTGTAATCTGTGTTTAATCTAAATTAACATGGTATTTTTTTAAAGAGTATATTGATGGTAGAACTTACCAGAAACCGTTGGTAAAGGCAAAGTAAGTCGATGTATTGTTTTTTTTTTACCAAAACAATGGCATAGCAACGATAATAGCTAGACCGAGACATCTTTGCGTTTTCCAACTAGAAGGTAATCGATGGATCTTGTTCTAACACCGTTAAAGAATGCATGGGGAATGCATACAGGCTCAATACTTCATGGCTTTTTAACAACTGCGTGTTTGGACCGAAAAATCTCACTGCACTGATGAAAAGTCTAGATATTATAACTCAAAGAATAGCGGCGCGCAAACCAACAACTTGCACGTGGAAATGTACAGCATTATAATATTCCACTTCAGGCAGCTTTCTAGCCAAATAACAACCCTCTAGATAAATGTTTCCAAAGAAAAATCTTTAAAAGCTCTTTTCCTTGAATTGTAGAGATAGTTCTGCAACTAATTAAACCTCCTGAAAAGAATTTCATTCATAAGTTCCGTGGCGGTCAATGTTTGTATACAACCGCTCGGACATTGTACTACAAATGACCAGTCGAGACACTACGACACTACGATGAAATTTACCAGTTTTGAAGGTGATTTTTCAACATTAAGACTAAGAAGGGACAAAATTCTATCGTATTTTGTTATATACCACAATTATTTTGGTTTTGTATTAATTTTGAAGAAATACTGAGAGATATTTCGCACTGCGTATAAACAGTCTTCACATGTTCTTTATATGTAAGCTTGTAATAACCTCGCGCACGTCAAAGTAAATTGAAATCTTATCTCAAAGAGGACACTGTAGTCGCCCTAGAACACAGAAATTGCCCAGTAAAACCTCACCTTGTACATAATAGAAATCCTGATTTTCTGTGCTACACTTGTACCATTCTACGGTATTTACACGCCATTTGTATGAAACTGTGTATTATTGCTGACGATTCGGAAATAGCTCGTCGGGCGAACGACGGCGAATCCCGAAATTAAATACACCCACTCACACGCCTGATTAAAGATTCGGCGGGAAAGAGTTGGCGTTATTTGTAAACCGATAATCCGAAAAGATCGTTAACTGAATATGATATTTTAATGATCTATGACTTTATAACAGAAAATGTGGGATCGAAATAAAAAGAAAAAAAAACATCAAACAGGTTTAGCGGACTTTTCGCGCCATCCGACAACCAGATGACGCAATTGGACAGCGGAGATCCCCATAATTTAAATAGCTGTCATTTAAAATCGGCATTTCTATCAAACTCCTAATCAAACGTTTTAGCTTCCTGGTGAGTTCTAAAATCGAGTCTTATCAGGTTTTTGCTCTTCAAATCGTGCCAATTTGGTCAGCATTACATGTGCTTCTCATGTTTCCATAACTACACACCCACCAGGCAAATATTACCAGAACGTTGCATAATTTACAAAACTCGTGATTTCAAGGTAGTTGAACTGGTTCAATGATTCAAATGTTGGCTTTTGACAACAAAAGTATTTTAACTAGGATTGTGCAATAAAATAATAAAATTACGCGTCAATATCCTTATTTACTTCTAACGTAATATAGTTTTACAAAGGTGCAACTAGGAAGTTATTGGACGTGGGAGGAGGAGTTACTGTACAAATCCATGAAATTGAAAGACAACAGTATAAAAATAGCACTTTTACTGGCTACAATAACGCTTAATAAGAATCCTTATCGAATATCCTCTAACTTTCCAGGCTGAGACAAGAAATAGGATTTCACCGCCAGAGAAAATAATTGACTTAAATCAAGATTCACTGAGTGGAACAGGTGAAAAGCTTAGATACACGTAATGTCTAATATTGGAAATAAACGAAACGTTGCTGCCCAACTGGCGTATTTCAAGCTCAACCGAGATCGTTAGAAATAGTCGCACTGGAAACCGGCAGAAAATTATGCCACCAACAGTTAGACACTGACGGTTCTTTTCCGAAGCAAGCTTTGAACTGTAGGCTTAACATAAAAAATTTTCCTCTCACACCGAGACAAGTAGCACCTGTTCGTCACGAGGAACCTGAACGCCCCCGCACTCCACATTTGACTTGTTCTTTGAGCCTGTCGTAAGAAAACCTACAGTATACATAGTAGAATCACCGTTCCTCGCACGAGAAGCACAATAAATTGTTCTAAGTTAATGCAGTGTACCAAACACTATACAGTTTAATTTCGAAGAAGGAGAATTCTAATAACAGAAAATTCGAGGCTTGGTTCACAGTTTGTCAAAAACTCTGCCCCTTTAAATTTAAACGAGACTGTCTGAGAGTTTCAATAAATATGACACAGTTACAATTCGTTTGGTGCTAGTTTGTGTTTTTAACCATGACGATCGAAATCAGCTTTCAGGCAAGCCCTGTTAAACGTAAACGCTGGGCGTTCGTAACTGCTCAAATAAAACAAAAACCACTGCAAAACAAAAAACCATCCTCATGCTATTCCTCTTCCTCTGTTTTTGTGTCGAGGTGTCTTCTGAAATTCACGTTGTTGAGTCCACAAAGCCGATAAACTATTCTTGATTCAGTGCCATCTCAGTCTGAAGAGATAGTGACACACAAGTAATTTTTCTGGAATCTGAAAACAAAAAAAACGGACAATGACAAGTAAAGGAAAAGTAGAGTAGAGTAAGTAGAGTACATGAAGAATTTTTCAGAACAACAATATTTGAAAACAGGATTTTATTTTATTTTATCTGCAGCTGAGATAACTTGTTATAAATGTTGTAGTTCAATTTTATTCTTGACCCCAATTTTATTTTCCTTTGTTTTTGGGCACGTTAGTTAACGAGTGTGAAACCAAAAAGGAAAATTCAAGCCAAGGATAAAATTTAACCAAAAAATGCATCACAGAACACCACTCTACTATACCATGGTAAGCCTGTGGTTACCTGAGGGGTCCTAAAAATACCACAGGATAGGAAGGCTATGAACGTTCAGGGGTGCTTAGCATTTACACGAACCTTCCGGGTGGAAATATTGAGCATAAACAAAAAGATTACGCGGTGGGACGACTCACTACCCAGTGGCCGATGTAGACCTTCAGATAAGGGGGGGGGGGGCGGTCATCCAGACCCTGAGATCCTGAGAGGTGGGGGGCGGTCTCAACAAAAAAAATTTCCGGCCCTCCGGGCCTCAGTTGGGTCTAACAATAAGGGGGGGGGTCCGGGCTCCCCAAGCCCCTCCCCTGAATCCGCCACTGCACTATAAAGTATACTCAAATCTGCTGAACATACTAAAAACAGTAAAAAGACTTTAAAAATTGCATTGCCTCGAATCATAGCGCATATTTTCTGAACCCACCCAAACGGAATGGCCAGAACCCAGTCATTTGATTTTCCAGCCGGAAGGTCCGATTTTCCCATGAAAATGGTAAGTACCCCAGGTTTTCGGAAGAATTTGCATGGCCGTCGTTTTCAGGCAACCAGTTTTGTTTTCACTTATAACATATAACATAAGAACTTTATTTAGCTGTGCAAAAAATATAAGACAGTTAATTGGGGACTCTATTCAGCTTAATCAATAAGCGAGCTGAAAATAGACGGATTAGTTTTAGTCGTATCTAGAATAGCTACAGAGATGTCTCTCAATGGAATGAATATTTGAGCCAGTCAGAGAACGAGAATTCGTTTGTTTCTATTGGCCATTTTGTGGTAACACGAAAGACTGGGTTTTTGTTGTGCCGAATTGCACCATAGTCAGTGATTGTAGTAAGGACCCTATCGCTTCTTTTATTGGCTGCTAAGAGGTTGCAGTGGAAACTGGGTCAAAACTCGTCCCACAAACTAGACCTATCGAATATTTTGACACTGTACAGACCCAGTCTCAAGAACCAAAACAGTATATTGGGAAAACAAGCAAAACATGTGTCGCAACATTTTCTTGAGCGCGCAGGATACTAGTGTAATTTCGTTCCCCCCTACATGTACCTCTAGTACACATCCCCATTACACGTCGCTGCGAGCATTTAAGGCCTCTTACACCTTACACCACGTGGTGCACAAGGCCCTTGCGTTTACCACACGAGATTTTCTTGCTGTTCGCTACTACATGTGACCTCGCGTCCGCGCGACTTTAGCCCCTCGTGACTCTGAACCTGACCTTTACTGAACATAGATAAAAACTGCCTCATAGTGATGGCGAATGCGACCGCGAGTACTTAAACATTTACGTCACAACGGCAAACGGCAGATATAATGACCACGTGACCATGTTTTTCACGATTGATTACGTTTATCGACTGCCGGCTTCAACGTAACGAGGTGTGTCCTCACGTTCGTGCAAAACGTAAGAACCGCAATTTTCATCGTTGTTGGCTACATTAGTAATCGCGCGATCATTTGCACTGATTAACGTAAAAGTACTTAAACTGTCTTTACGTCTAGCCGACACCACTTCAGAGCTGGTATGCAAGCCCTTCTATCTATTCCTCGTACATAAGTCATTTGATGTCATCTTCATACACCTTAAATTCTTGCACTGTCACCACTACAAATCACAATTACACACCATTTTTTCATGCTCTAGCTGCAGTTTGATACCTGATCGCTTTTATTTGAATGAGTATTGGACTGAGCGACTTAATTTTTCGGAATCGTTTCGGCTCTTATTCGATGTGGTCTGGTGGTCCAAGGCTCTGTAAGGGTCTCTCAAGCCGGCTCTTGCGGCGTCGACGGGATTGCGAGAAAAAACCGCAGCACTTTTATAGTTCATTTGCTCCTTTATTTACCGTCGGTTGTTAAAGTAGTTTTCAAGTGCATCACTGCCCTTTGCTGCCATACTATCTACATTTGACCTTAGCTGCCACTGAGTCAAATATCACATTGAAATTACTATATGAAAATAAACAAATTAATATAAGTTGTGTTTATCGATATCAGCAAACAAAGCAATATATGCTGCCGACACAATGACGCAAAGAGCCCAAGTGCTTTCGAGCAAAGAGTTGCTCAAGCATTCAAATAAAGTGAGCAGTTTTAGATAATTATTTTGCAATATAGTCTTTTCTCATTAACGTAGCTACCTCATAGCTAACTAATAGCTAACTTAACGTTTCAATACACACAACAAACAGCCTTTTAAAAGAATAAAGAGTTTAGTATGGTTTGTATTCATCAATAGACATGAAAGAAAACTGCTCTATATGCAGTGGACGTTCAGTTACAAGCTGTGGAAAATCATATATTGATGAAACTGTCGACATAATCAAATGCGTTTTCGCACGAACGTTGGAATCACGCAAATTTTTATGCATTTTGGCCTTGCGACCACCCTAAAATAATCAAAAACACAGGTTTTCAAACCTGGGGGTTTTGCAAAAACGTTCTAAAGTTTAGAGCTTTAAAACTGACTGCGGTCTACTTTTGTAATAGGTGGACATTTTCGAAAACGCTGGCGTCATGGCTACTCATGCAAGACGTATTTGCTGTCATAAAAATGGCAGGAATATGGGAGTTTGTCGCATAAACGTCCACAAAAAAATTAACGAATAGCAGGATTTTCGCCTTCGTGATGGCCTGATATGGAAGTCGTTGACAGGCGATGCGAAAACGCCAGTAAGACCTTCCAAACGACACTAGTGTGGCTAGGAAGACGAGATGAGAAAATTGAAACGCCCCCGTACCTCCCAGCACCCGCCCCCACACAACCCACAGGAAAAAATATTGTCATTTAAGAGATAACCTTGCCGGGATCCCAATCGGCCGGGGCATCCCTATATATCCCCTGGTAAAATCTCTTTCAACTGACGATAACATGACGTAAAATCATGGTCAGGAAGTGCGCATCTTAGACTGAGGCAATATTTCGTCGAATTACACTTTGTGATTGTTACGGTAGAACACCTACCTGATCTGTCGATCTATGGTGCTTCATAAGCTGTTGTTTGCTGTTGGCTGTGAAAGTGTAATTGGTGTGCGAGTAAATTATTGTTACTCGATAAAATAACAAACGAATGGGTCATTTTCAAGTTCCAAAAAACGAGCCGTAAAAACTGCAAGTGTAAACGAGTTTTATTTACAAAAAAATCAAACAATCATTTTAATCTAATATCAAACATTTAATAGTTGCCTTCTTTTTAAGCGAAGTGGATTGATGCAACTCGAAAATAGCCTATTACCGTCACAGCGCCATTTTTAATTGACGAGAATAATAATAAAAATACACATAAACATAATAATGCTTTAATTATCCTCTTCCCTTAATATGGGGCTTTTCAGGGATAATGAAACAAATATTCAAATGGAGGGTAACATAGTTAAAAATCCCAACTGGTTGAAGACGAACCAGTTGGCTATTTTACATGTGTGTTCGAGGATCTGAACTCGGGACTACCGAGAACAAATCCAGCTAGCGAGACTGGAACTCGGGGCCTCCGAATTACAAGTCCAGCGCCCTAACCGCTCGGCCACACTGCTTCTGAGCGCTGCCTCTCGGAAGGCCCTGGGAATACGATTGGTGTACTGAGCCCGCAGTCTTTGCGGAGGTAATACACCTACGAATCACAAAGAAATGTAGTTGCAATTCTGATTGGTTAATAGTATTGTGATTTGACTGAAAAGGAACGGATGACAAGATATTTCCGCTGTTTGCCGCGGTTACAAGCCTAGGAAATATAAACCTATACTACAGTTAAGTCAAAAACGTAAAAAGGTACACAAAAAGTTAAGATAAAAAAAGGCTTCAGAAGTAAATTATTCGTCTAATCCAGAGTATTCACGCAAGATCTGGAAGTGAAGTGATTCTTCCATATGACAAGGCACTTTTTTTAGCAATCGGGCACAAAAAAATACAATAGAGAAACAAAAAAGGCTTGTTTGAATGCGATGAATTAACTCAGGAAATTATCTAAGCACGTCTTCGAGCCCCTCAGAACAATAATATAAAGCCCTCGAAGAGACAGCCTGGAGGAATAAATCCGGCAACACAAAAACACGTCAGTCACTACCCTGATAAACGGTGGAAGTGAAATTCATCGGTCTTGCTTCTGAGAGAAAGGATAAGTTTACATCGAAGCAGAGGAGACAAACGTTGCATGAAAAATCAATGCTGGCCCCGTGAACGGAGGTTAATGGAAACGCCGCGAATTAGCAGTAACTTGAAGTCAAGTTTGAAGTGAGTTTTACCTTGCCGAGGAAGGAATTGTCAACGTGTTCAAGCAACCATGGATTTGAATTACGACGAAAGTTCCCAAGAAGTTGTGACGACCATAGCGATGATAAAATCCATGACAACCACAGCGAGGAGGCGTTCTAGTCTAGCAAAATCTCCTATGCTTCCTCGCATAAACTGTAAACGAGGAAGCCGTTCAAAGAACGTTCCTGATCCAAAAAGTAGCGCAGCGTCGCTCGTCGATTCATCAAAATCGTCGTCCGTTAATTCGTGGCCCACGAGAGGGGTAACTTTAGCGAGCATCGAGTTCAAGCGGCGCCTAGAAAAAAGAAGATCAAAGCCTCAAGTTTATGAAGCACAGCTTGATAAAACAAACCGCGCTAGGATTGCAGAACACGCAGAAAAGCAAAGTCAGCGTATGACAGTGTTAAAATCGATTTTTCAGGCGACTGGCGAGAAAAAAGAAATGATCAGCCCACTCAGACCTTCAAACCCTTCGAAAAGCTTTCCGACTTCGAGAAAAATCGATTACAGAAAAAAATCCCAGCCAAAAGGAGAGGCTAAAACGACGAAAGTACCTCAAACTGAGTTACCACTGCTCTCTGTTATGAAAATAACTCCTGAAAGACGACCGACGTTTCACCAAGGAACTAAAGCGAGCCTGAACGCGAAATAATGGAATAAGCGTGCCAGAATTACTTTTATACTTGAACTGTTGACACATAGATGTTTGATGCTTTACTCTTACTTAAGTAAAAGATTCTTAAGGGATAATTTATTAAGTAAACATTTTCTCTGTTAGCGCTCTAACTATATAATTGAATCTTGCATTGGGTATTGATCGATTGTGAAGCAGATCTGCCTTTTTGTGACTCACTCCATTTGGCTATAAGTACTGCAATATCGCCAGAGGTGATGAACCAGTAATATGGTTGAACGAGGGAAGATTTCTTACGCTCACTGTTATAATCGCCAAGTGAAAGGTGTCGCAATAACTGAAATTTGCGATACAATTTAAAACATCAACACCGAAAAATTCCAACCTCCAAAGATCCATAAATGGGGTCGAATATAAAATATACCGCACATTTTTAAGCGAAGAGTTTGGAAATGCCAAGTCGATATTCGTAACACGAAAATAAAAGTAATTGAGATCTAAACTGACAAGCCATTGTGTGATCCTTGTCTTGGAACTGTGGTCATGGAAGACGAAGCGGATTTTAATTCTGAATCCAAAACTTATGGCTTATAATCAGATAAAAAATATACCAAAACAAATTTCTCTCGAAAATAATGTTTTAATAAAGAAAATACTTTGTCAATTTTCGCAGACGATAGCGTTCGTTGTTGTATTTAAACTGAATAAAAGAAACGATTAAATACAAACCATACAATGGTAGTGAATTCAGTTCTACCCTATACTCCTAGTTTTAATGTTATTTCGTCGATTTTATATAGATTTAGATCGATCATTTCGTGTAGTAAAAAATTAATTTCATTTACATTTTTCATATAAAACTGTCATGCATAATTAGGTTGGCATAGAAAACGTACTCTGATTAAAAGAACGCGAAAATTTCTTTGACTTCAGTCCCGATGTGCATATGACTTCAAATTTACCGTCGTATGCTTATACTAAATATAAAATTTACAATTATAGATAGTTTGACTTATGAACTCTACATTTTAAAGTTTGCAGAATCGAAACAGATAAATAAATTAATAGACAGATTGGAAGATAAAAACGATTCCTATAGGCAGAGAAAGTAATTAACTCTTAAAATGAAAAAAAAAAAAGCGTTCTAAGACAAGCAAATTGTGCCGATTTTGTCGGCTTTCGTTCACGACTTATATTGAAAATCGGTCCGACACGCAAAGAGTTAAAAACAATTTAATGACGCGGATCGAAAAATCGACTGGGCCTGAAAACGGTGTTTGCATGTCCTTTGCCTGAATCACCAAAAAAAAAAAAAACGTTCGAGTCCGTTTTTGACCCCAGACAACTGTATTTTGCTTCACCTATAGACGGTTAAATTAGTAGAAAATAATAAACAAATTTAGTTTCCATCGATCACGTTGTAGGCTTCTAAAAACACCTGTACCAGGATTAAATTAAAACAAAGGTCTACCAGCTGTCTAGCCTCCAGGCAAAATGAGCGTTGCCGGTCAACAGAGCCTGCTATAAACTTGGAGAAACAAGTCGACGGTCTCCCAGTTGGTCTTTAGAATTTTATACGGTAAACAGTAAATATTTTGGCTTTCCTACAGCTGCTTTCTTTTCGTTAGAAGTAACTGACATCTGGGCCAAAAAAAATCGATCGCATTTGAAGTCGAGTATTTGTTTCAGGTTGTTGCAAACATATTTTTAAGATCTAAGGTCTTAATCCAAGACATAAAAGGCTAAAGTAGGATTCGTCAACTACAAGAATAGACACATCAAAGTGAACTGAAATGACATGAAAAACCTTCTTTAAATGTCAAAGTGCTAACGAGCGATCTCAAAACTTCAAGAACGACAATCTGTTTCGGCTAGAAAAGTTTTTGCCTTTTATACCATCGTGTTTCCCATATAACGGTTAAAAGGTTTTACTTTGTAGACTCTCATAGTCCCAGAACCTCGTCATTCTTGGCTTCCCAGGCCTTCTCGGTCAATGCATTTCGGTGACGTATCCAAGACGACCGACTGGACCACGCTCGGACCACGTGACCCGAAACGCATCGGCCGCGCGCAATAATGAGGCCCAGGGCCCGTTTCTTGAAAGTCCCGATAACTTTTTTGGGCCCGAAATCAAATATTCAAATCGAAATGAAAAGAATAAGAGCGCGGGTCCTGGCTAGCAAAATACTCCATTTTGTTTCATTAACTGGTAGTTTTATCATGTGAGAATGCCAAACTATTAAAACTTCTATCTTTCATGTAAACAACAACAGCTTTACGGGCCCGTTAATTATCGGCCCCAGGGACCAGGCAAGTGTCTCCCATTCAATTCGTAGGGTGAACTTTCTCAAAGTCCTTCGCTTCCCGTTTCCGGTTCCGGTAGCAGGCTCCGTCGCTCGCTTTGCGGCCGAAAACATAAAGAATTTTTAGCTTGCGCTTCGCACTCGAGAAAAAGTTTGAGCTCGGCTCGAAGGACATGTAGCGAAAGCATTTATGGAAACTTGGTGACAGTAAACATATTATTATTTCTCACACATAAATGAGTTTCTTTGCCCCAAAAATGTTTTGTGTTCAAACAAAACTGAAAGTTCCAAAGTATTTGAGTACCCTTACCCTCGACTGAAGATCATTATATTTCACCTGTGGTATCGTAATTTGTAAAAGAAACCTAACACCTTATTAGAAAATACTGATTCTCTAATCTTCTTGTCGTCAGCAGTGTATAGGGACCGTGTTCTGCAGGCGAGAGTAACTCGGGGTTCGAACAGCTAAAATACAAAACCTAGACAGCGAACTTGTTAACACTTATAAACCAACAACAGACACTGCATTCACCAATTTTCTGATCGAGAACCTAATTCTACAAAAGCTTTGCCTTTTTAGTTTTTCTCCTTATTTCATAGTTAGTTTATTTCGTACGTATAATTAAAGTAAAGAAAATTTTTAGTTTATTTCGTATAAATTACACTGATAGTGGTAGTCTATTAATAAGGGGGGAAAAAAGTCAGTTACTTGAACATGCAAAATGATTCTTTTGAACAAACACCTTTGAGCAAAGACGACAATAGCCACGATTTTGAATTAACTTTTCTTGTCTGACCGTAATCAACTCCACTTCTATTGGATGGTGTTAACTGCAAAGGCTGGAAATAAAAATAACATCTGAACGGAAGGCCGTGAACTCCTTTAAAATCGACATTCGGCCGCAGTTATTCATTAAAGAATTGTTTTGTCGAAAGCTCGTACTTCACGTCCTTTTTTCCGGACAACAGAACTTTCAAAATGGAAAGTCAAAGTTCACAAAAAGGAAGTAAGATTTCTTTTCAAAAATAAACTGAGCCACAACAGCTAGATGTCTTTGTCTCTTAACGCGTTCCACATGCAGTTGAAACCTTTTACTCTTACAACTGAAAAAAGGCAAAGTCCTAGAAAAATTACAAATTTTGCTTTGAGGAAACCAAATACCGTATTTACACAGAAGAGCAAAGTAACCTTTCATCTTCTCGGTACGGCGCTTATTTGAGGGCAGCTCTTATTTGAAAATTCCTATATGCAAATGACACACTACTTTGTGTTCTTTGAAAACGATAACAGTAGCATGGGAAGAACCTGTAAAATTTAATTTGCAAACTTGTGATTCTAACCTAGGATAAATGACTAGAATACGATTGGAATCCCTGAAACTATTCTTCTAGAGGTTGCAGGAAATCTGCACGTATTTAGACGGCCTGACTTTGGGAAACGCTTATACAGCAAATCCTCTATCAAATCCCCCGGGGGGCTTATTCATTTCAAACACGTTTGGGGTGGGGGAGAGCTTATTTAATTTAGGGAAGATGGTGGAATTGGTTCTCCATAGAGAAGCAGAATGCAAAGTTGAAAAGCTCAAGTACATGAAGCAAGCGGTCACGCAGCCGAGGAAAAAAAACAGATCCGAAATTCCATCACGTGAATAAACCGTCCCAGATCAGTTTTACCGTCGTGATTGATTTATGCAGTCGATCACTTATTAGTGAAGAATAATAAACGGGAGGGAAGAGGAGGCTTAAAAAAGAAGGGGGATTTAATTTCTTCCCTTGAAAAGGGGAGCTTACTGCAGGATTAACGGTACATGGTGCTGCTTCATTGGGAAGTAAATACAGTCAAAGTTCCTTTAACCCGTAACCCTTTAAGCCCTACGAGTGATCAGCATCAAATTTCTCCTTGTAATATCAATGCTTTGTAAAACAGAGTGGTCATGAGAATTATGGACATGATCACACAAGGTGAATCTAACTGATACTTCAATAAATTCTCCCCACTACATCCGCTGAAAACCTGTAGGGATAACAAATAGGAATTTGAATTTTGATGTGAGGGTTTAAAGGGCTGAAGTCCCAAAATTGACCAAGATCAATTTTTTCGTAACATGACCTTAAACATAATCAATTAAGAGAAAAGGTTAAGAGAATTCATGAAATGATCACATAAAGAAAAATGGTTTGATCTTTTATTCTCTCAACTAATTCTTTAGGGCAGTGTATGGAGATCAGTCTGGAGAATTTGTATGTGGACAAAGATAGGTGAAAAAGGGTCTGCAATTGGAGGTGGCTGGTTACCGGAATGACTTTTGACAGCAGAGAGAATTCAAAATGGGTTTCAGTAAAGGCGACTATAACTGGAGCTGTCCACATTATGACAGAGTCCCTTAAGAGAGCTTTTTGTCTGATAATTGACTCAGGCAAGAGTGAAACTTAATCATTCAACTACTGTCTGGATTATGACTGAGTTGTCTGCACTAGCCATGGCAGTGAAGCCAATTTTTGCTGCAGTCATTTTGCCAGCAGAATTAGCTCAGTTGGTACAGCAGTGGGCTGCAGAGTGGGAGGCTTGTAGGCTCCAAGGAGGGGGGGGAGGAGTGGGTAAAACCTCTGCCCCAAAGGGGTGCATTTTTCAGGTTTCAGGTATATGAAAGGGTAGGAATAACAATTTCACCTGCTGAAGTATATGAAAAGATAGGGAAATCTGTCATTTCAGTCAATAAAAAAGCTAACAGATGCATTTAATGGCTCTGAAAACGTTGAGAAAGCATCATGGTTTTGTGATTTATTCCTATTTTAAAGACGGTCTATTTACTGCAGTTCAAAGGGATGCAAAGTTCTAAACTAGGTATGTGAAAGGGGTACCATTTGCCAAAAGAAGGCATACAAAAGGGGTATCTTTTCTGTCAAACATGGTATATAAAAGGGAAAGGTGTTGGACCTCGGGGCGGAGCCTCCCCTTTTAAAACTTTGGTGAGTTCCCCAACCCTTGTGGGGGTTATAGGTTCAGTTAAACCAATACTCTGAGGACGAAGGTACTGCGTTTGCCCTTCATATGGCTCGACCTTCGTGGGGCTTGGATGACCAGACCAGATGTGTGGCCATCCCATCTCCAAGTAGGAAAAGTAAAAACAGTATCCTCAATTGGTACTTGCATGTTAATACATTGGAACTCAAAGAACAAAAAGTACTTTTTTTAAAATTACTTTGACTTCACAGTTAATGTGTGCTAACAGAAGAACTTAATATTCCTTTTTTAGACCCCTCTGATAAGAAAAGAGTGAACAAGGAATAAATCACATTTTTTAGACCACATATATAGCTCGGCCAAATGTTATAAAGTGTTAACCCAAAATGTCAATACACTGAACTTGGTGGTTCAATATGAAAGGGGGTTGCTAATTCCCACGCTCACTGTTGAAGTATAAAGTAAACTCTATGACACATACTGTTAGACTCTCATCCACCGAAGTACGTTACTACAGATCTCAACTAAAAGTGCATTCACTTTTTACCAGAACAACTAATTGGTATTTTGGCTGGTTGGTCGGTTATGGAAGCTGGTTGCAAGTTTAAGGTTCAACTGTTTTTGAAAGACTAACAACAGCTTTAATAATACATATCATTAAATTTTTAATTAAGTCATTTCTTAAAAGGTCTCCAAAAAGTTCTAAAGTAGTTACCTTAGAAGAGTTTAGCTCTCTTTGCAGCAATCTCTCTTTCTGTGCCAAACTCATAGTACTGGGGAGCCAGCTTGTAGAGCCAAGAAGGATCTATCTTTGTCACATCACGCATGTACTCCTTAGAAGTCTGAAGTACTTCATGGTAAACAACCCACTGAGGTGGTGTTTCAGTATATAGGACTGATGTTGGGTGGATAAACAAAGCATGGTCATCTCTCACGGTGCGATATGATCCCGAGGGGTGCAACCTGGCAGCATTAGCAAAGAAACCACTCACTATACACTGACAAATTGAATCAACATCTCCATCACAAGAGATCATTGGAACTTTGAATTGCAAAAGGAGCTTCTTGAACTGCTCTCGAATTTTAACAGCATGACAAAGTCCCTTAAAATTCAGGAAATGCTCGTGGCACCATTTTGAACTCTTTTTGTATTTCAGGAAGGCCTCATAGATGTTCAGCAGGGTGATGTGGTCTCCTTCGTACACAGAGAACTTCCTCTTAGCATTGTCAGCTGCTGCTTTCTGTTTACTAGGGCTGACAAAAATGTTCTGTATTTGCAGCATAGCAGCAATTGTTAGGATCTCTTCAGAACAACCAAACTCGCCTGAGGATAGAAGCATTTTTGCAATCATTGGATCTGTGGGAAATTCTGCCATGTTTGTGCCCAAGGGATCAACCAGTTTGCCATGTTCATCCAATGCTCCTAAGGCATACAAGAGCTCAAGGCCACGAATCATGTTCTGAGCAGGTGGACGGGCTGCGAAGTTGAAGCGGAGAACATTATCAATACCCAAGCACTTCAACTGCAGTAAAACTGATGCCATATTACACCTTTGCATTTCTGGCACAGTTGCTGGTTTTAGGGTAAGGAAGCCTTCTTCTGTATACAACCGGTAAACTTTTCCTGACCTCACACGACCTGCTCTGCCGGCACGCTGCTTTGCAGAGGCCTGTGACACAGGCACTACTACCAAGCTCTCCACTCCAACTTTGGAAGAATATGCACAGAGTTTGACAAACCCACAGTCAATGACATGAACAATACCACTGATGGTGATAGAGGCTTCGGCAATGTTCGTCGCAACCACCACTTTTCTGGTATTATGAGGTGTTGGTTTGAAAACCAGCATCTGCTCTGCATGTGGAAGACCACTATACATTGGAAGAACTTTCAGGTACTGAGATCCTTTGGGTAAAGCTCTTGCCCTTTCAATCAACTGTGAAACAACAGTTTCAACTTCATCTTGACCAGTGACAAAGGCCAGAATGTCACCATGAGGTTCCTCTTTGTGTATTCCCATCACAGTGTCTATTGTTGTTTTCAAGTAATCTGGAACAGGACTCAGTGTATAATGAATGTCAACAGGATATGAACGTCCCTTCACTGATAGTATTGCAGCAGTATCCTTGGTACTGTCATTTGTGATATTTGAATTGAAAAATTCCTTAAACATCTCGGCATCAAGTGTAGCTGAGGAGACAATGATACGAAGATCCTTTCGCTTCTTCTTTATCTTTTTCAAAAGCCCTATCATGATGTCGGTGTGAAGTGTCCTCTCATGTGCTTCATCTAGCATGATCACGCTGTATTGTGACAATAAAGGGTCACTCATGGTCTCCCTTAAAAGCACACCATCAGTCACAAACTTCACACGCGTACTTTCCGGATTACAGCAATCATCAAACCGAATAGAGTAGCCTATTTCCTCTCCTATGAAAGAGCCTCTCTCTTCAGCAACCCTCATTGCCACAGACACAACGGCTACTCTCCGAGGCTGCGTGACGCAAACTTTCCATTTTTCAGACGTCCATCCACTCTCGTGCAGATACTGAGGAATCTGTGTGGATTTTCCACAGCCTGTTTCGCCTACGATGATGACAGTTTCAAACTTTTCCAAGAGATACAAGATGTTTGTTCGGTGCATAAAGATTGGAAGCCTTTGTCGCTGAAGGTTGATCGACAAGGAGCTGTTGGGATTATAGACAACTGTATCAGAAGCATCGTTACTATTAACCGGTCTTTCGATCGCAATATCACTGCCAGGCTTTTCTGTATCTGGCTTCCAAAAGCGCGGTTTCCAGCCTGCGGACGCCATTTTGTGTCAACTGTTCGGGTAGGTACTTCATATATGAGTCGTTTTCGTCCGCTGGTCAAAAGAAACGCAGGCTCAAATTTCCACAGAATTTACTTTTTGCGCATCTTTTTTATGGAAAACCGCTTTCAGGCTTCATTTAGGGCTCTTGATTATGATCCCGGGAACGCGCGTGAAACGTGAATGTACAGTTGGAGGAAAGTTTTTGTCGTGGCGACATGAATTTATTCATCTACAACCGTTGCTGAAGTTCCTGAAACTACAACGATGGCTCCACCTCGTAAAAGAGTAACGGGCGATAAAAATAAAAGTAAGTTAGATGAACTTTGGGCTGTTTTTACGTGATCGTGCAATGAAGCTACGTACTGCAAGGTGAAATGATGCGTCTGAAGATTTTGCCAAATTTAACATGTTTAAAGTGCTTCAGGTAGCTTTTTTTTTATCAGAATCAATCGTTAAGCTTTCTTAAAAGGCACATACTTCTCAAATGTCTTGCTACATGAGATATGGAGAAGAACACCGTGGAAACGAACCTGATCAGTTGTCAAGAGCTGGGCGCTAAATTTCTAGTACAGCTTTTGAAATGTTTTACTTATTTTTAATACACACTGTTACAAATTTTAAGGGAGCAGCTAATGTTCTACGACCCGGTAACGTTTCAGTTATTTAAGCCTTTGGCAAGCTACTTAGTGGCAAATTATGCATTTGTTCGCCATACGAGTATAGATTAAGAAAAAGCAAATTACATAGCTGAGATGAAATTTGTTGAGCAGTAGACGTTGTGAGAGTTAGAAACAGGTGAATAATATTAAAATATTCAAACATTATCCATTATTTATAATTTTGCAGCTGAAAAAATATTCATCCATTTTGGGGTAAACATAACTTTATTAAAATTTTTATCCCAGAAGTTTAACATTTATTAATATAGTTTTTATTAGGACTAAGTCTGGCCCAAATTTGCCTTGAATTAACTGTTACAGTTTATCCAAAATGTGATAATCTATTTAATACTGAAAACAATGACACAATTTCCTGTACTTAGATGTTATGGGTGCTTCTCATTAAATAATAATGCAAAATATCTGGATTTTTTTTCGTGGAAAACATAAGAGGAGTGCTTCATGAGTTGGTGTGGAAGTAGTAGCCCTCTTTGACTATATTTTATGTCCCAATAATGATCAAGATTAATGTTATCCTTGTAATATCTGTACATAGCCAAGAAAAGAGGTTATGAGAATTACAAAAATGATCACCAATGAGAAAATTCCTTGATCTTTTATCAAATTCTCTCAACTAAGTTCTTAAAGAAATGTACTGAGATCATTCTGGAGAATTTGTTTGTGGATATTGGGACTTAAAGGGTTAAGATACCACAGTTCACTTGTCACTGAGATAATTCAGACTTGTCAATTTATTTTATCACAATATGTGTCACTGCTTAGATAAATTCGGATGGACGGATTGTTTGCCTTCCCAATTTATTTTGTCCTAACACGGTTATCTAGTTGTGCCTAACGGATGATCAAAATGGATTGACTGTAAATGTCAACGGATGAAAACGTTCAAGAGAGTTTGTTTTGACTGGAGCCGTTTAACGGTTGTCTAACGCTCTACATTTAGGGAAACGTTTGTCTACGGTTTACATCTAAGGACTTTTAACAAAGCGAACAGCTCAAATGTTATAAAACAAACAAAACCATTACTAGTCTTACACTCGCAATTTAAAAAAAAAGCGAGTCACAAAGTGCCGATTTCATCAGTCTTCGATGAGACAAGCATTAAAAAAATTATTTTCATGGTGAGCATTAATCGAGAGCAAAACTCAGGGATATAAACTTTCACTTTCTCATCGAGACGGAGAAACTCAGAATTCGAGTCCTTTATTATCGTGTGAGAAGCAAACCTAACGTCGCTAAACCTGTGTGTAAACAATTTTAATCGCCAGTCGTGGTGAACATTTTTTATTGTTTTACTCAAATGGATTTGTCGCTTGTACTTATTTTTACACCATGACTCTGTCAAGAGTTTTTCTAAAGTAACTGTTTTACCTGGGCCATTTTTGAACGGTCCGCACTTTGTGAATTGAAACCAAATAATATTATTCTACTTCAGTTCGAACGACAAAGACCACTTAATCATTTTAATGATTGCAAATAGCGATTAAAGGGAACGAAAGAAGATTATTGATCATTTGGGATCCCACCTCGCAGGTCGTAGCAATAACAAATTAGCATTTTGACAACCATTAATTGTTGCGTGACGAAACACGAGCACAAAGTTCTTGACATGACTTTGTGAGCAGTGTTTACTGCAGACCTTTATTTATGCAATGGCCATCAGCTTTCCCGTGTTTGTTTTATCCGTTTAAATTTATAAGATATTTTTAAGTCAAAATTAGTACAAAATACAAGCTCTCGAAATAACTGGACTTTGCCGAATAAATAAACATAAACATCGTTGTTATGAAAGTATAATAATTATAGTATGAAGGCCGTTGAGCGGATGCTAGTTTATTCTAACGGAATATAACGGATGCAAGTTTTTGCAAACAGTTATGCTGACCCGTCTAACGGTCTGATGCTAACGACTAACGGATACATGTCTCTTGCTACTTGTTACGCTGTCCGTTCTAACGGCCTCATGCTAACCTCTAACGGCTGGAGCTAAAACTAACGTTTTTAACGGATGCCTAACGCTTTCGCTTGTCTAACGGATAAGCGTTAAGGTACGTTTTCCCGTGCATGGTCACATATTTGAAATGGATTGACTGAAAATAAAACGTAAACAAGAGATTTTAATACCTACAGAAAATTACTGAAGACCAAAGTAAAAAAACAAAAAGATAACTGCAAAGCAAAATTTAGTCTTCTTTACAGATTTTACCCTTACATATTACTAAATTACATTTTAAAAGAAAAATCAACGATAAAAAAGTAACACGACGTTTTGACAACTCCATGTCATTAATATCAAATGCAAAGAAAATTAGCATGAATTGGTGATATTTATACAGAAAAAGAAAGTGTCAGGAATATGTAAAGTTAAAGGGAGGCGTGAAAATGGAGCAAACTAACGTTTTTATCGTTGATTTTTCTTTTAAAATGTATGTCGAAATTGATTGTTATCATAAATTATATTAGATAATATAAATCTCTTGCTGTTGAACACCTGTATTCACCACCAAAACCCTTGACATCTCAGATGCATCATTGAAAACAGCTAATCTTAACATCCTGCCCTCTTCAAATAGGTAGACACCAATATCTCGCGTAAGTTTTCTTTTTCTTTTGTTTCAGCTTCATTAGTGTACATTACCATACCCAAAGACAAAAGGAAAACAAAAATTGCCTAAGATAATGTTAACTACAACATATACACAACAGTAGTAAAACACTTAAGATGAGGAAAAAATTATTATTATCGTTATATTCATTTATTTCCAATTCCTTGATAATGGCATCACGAAGTCCCCAGAATGTTGGAACATTATCTTGTTAGTTTTTTCATGTTTATGTTTTCCTTAATCATTATTAATATTAATTGTCATTGTGGTTATTATTATTATTATTATTATTAATAATTTATTATTGCTATTATTTTTATAAAGATTATTTTATCTCACTAAATAATGTTGTCTTTGTCATTTTACAGATACTGATAGTGGTCATGGTAGCGCAAGAACCAAGCAAAAGGAGTCTGAACCAAGGAGATTTCCTTATATCAAGTGGCTAGTCATTCTCTCTGTTATTCTTCTGGCATCTAGTGTTATTTTTTACATTGTTAGAGCATTACATCAGCAGGATTTAAACTTAGAACAGAAAACAAAAACACAAACTGTTGAAACAGAGGTGGTTAAGCCCACAGAAAGGACAAAAAAGAAAGCTAAAAAAGAAAAATCACATGATCCACTTGCAGCTATAACTAACAGCTTTGATAAATCCATTGCAAAGGAGTTGGACAAAGCACAAAGCATTTTAGATAAAGGTCAAATAGGAGATGCACTGAGAAAGTTCGAAGGCCTTGTAAATAAGTACCCAAAGAGTCCAAGGGCATTGTATGGAAAGGCACAGTCCCTTGATAAACTGGCAGACTTGAAGCAAAGTAATGAAGTGTTACAGCAGAGTATAGAAGCTTATGGTAACGTGGTCACGTTGCCTGACTGTCCTCTCGAGTTGAAGCGAAGAGTGATGAGGCGACAGGCCGACCGGCTCAGTTTCCTTGGACGGATTGGACAAGCCGCTAACGTGCTGAAGAAACTATTAAATTTGTTCCCTGGAGACATAAAGCTTATGAATGAACTAGGAGTGCAGTATCTCCTGTCGGGAAGGAACAGGGATGCAGAAAGCATTTATAATCAGGTACAGTTAAAGCCATCCATACAACAACGTAGAGGCAGCTTGGCCGTGTGGTTGGAGCACTACACTTACAGTCCCAAGGCTCTAAGTTCAAGCCCCACCCTGACTGCTAGCTGGATTTGTTCTTGGTAGTGATAGTCTCAAGTTCAAGTCCTCGCAGTCAGACTTCTAATAAACCAAAGTTCTGTTAACAAATTCTCCAAACTGATCTCTATACATTTCTGTAAAGAATGAGTTAAGAGAATTTGTTAAAAGATCAAGGCATTTTTACTGAGGTGATCATTTTATTAATTCTCATAACTTATCTGTTGACAATGTATGGATATTGTCAGGAGAAAATTGATCTTGGTCACTATTGGGACTTAAAGGATTAAGCCCGCTACTAGTTGGGATTTCTTAACCTTGATTTGTCCCATTTGAATTGTTTGATTCAGTATGTATGAAAAGCCCTATAAGGGGAGAGAATACACTGGTTTATACTACTACATGAGAAATTTCCGCAGTTTGATTGGGTTAGAGCAGTGGTATTTCAGCTTAATTTGAAATACTTACATGTGAAAATTACAAACCTTTTGCGGGTAGTAGTATAAACAAATAATAGCATGATTTGTACGTGATATTTGGCAAAAATACTACTCATGATATTTCAAAATTGTCTCAAATTTCACTCGTCTAACGGCTCGTGAAATTTCGTATAACAATTTTGAAATATCACTTGTGGTATTTATGCCAAATCATGCTATTACCTGTACTAATTAATTTAATAATTTTTATTTTAATTTTACAATGGCAGTATTCAAGCACTTTTTTCTTGACTGTCTAAACAGAGGTCCAGTTATTTCCTCACTCTACAGCCTTGCTAAAATATGACTTTCTTGTGTCAAAAAACACCTGTTGATGTGATGTCAGGGGTCCTGATCTTAAGCATTGATGTGATTATTATTTTGTTCAATTAAAAAAAAATACCATAAACATTCAATTTTCTGTGACATTTCTAATCTAAGTAACGTAATTATAGTCTATGTTCACGTACATTTGTAAAATGATCCAATCACAGTATTCCTCTATTAAGTACTACTAATGAGTAGTAGTCCTTTAATTGTTAACCTAGATCTACATGTGTTTTCTCCTCTCAGGTTATAAACATGGATCCAACAAATGGTTTTGCAAAGTCGCATTTGGGTTTTATTCTTAAAACAGACCACTTGCGTTATGTTGAGGCAATTCCTCTGTTACGTGAAGGAATCTCAAGCGGCCATGCCGGGGCTGATGATGGGAGATTTTATTTTCATCTAGGAGACGCACTGACTCGGGTTGGAAAACCAGATGAGGTATTTCTCCAATAATTTTATTTATTCTTTTATTTTTCTTGTTTAATCTTATGGTATCAAACTGCTGTTTGTTAAGATGCCCTAAACTTTATGTTACAGGCTTACAAGGTGTATGCTGAGGCTGCAGGTAAAGGCATCTTTCTGTCTGCTCTACAACGCTCCCTCTACAATGCTGATACTCCGCTGAAAGCTCAACCTTTCTGGACGCCAAAAGAAACTGGATATTTAACGGCTATACAGTAAGTCAGTCCTATCAAGACACTGTGTATGGAACTGTACCCACCCCCATTAGCAATATTTCTGAGAGTTCAACTTAGTGTTTGTACATATTATAAATCATAGTTAAATCAGTTGCCAATAAGATGGGTGTGGGGAAAATGCATGTTGAAATGAGGGGAGCTGCATGGGAGCCCAGAACGTAACAATGACAACCTGTGAGTGGCAACCACCAGGCCCGGGGGGGTACTGCCATAATATGGGCTAATATGTGCCGCTGTGAAGGGTATGGTTTTCAAGCAGTTTACTCTAGAATAGGGTATATAAATCAGAACATTTCGGTCTAGGATAGGGTATCATTTTTCAGGAAACTGATCAGTTGGTTGAAGATTTTATCTAGACTAGGGAAACAGCTACTCTAGGATAGGGGGGATTTGGGGAGTTTACTCTAGTATAGGGTAGCAAAATTTAGCTGAACTAGCTCTGGTATAGGTTAAGGGTTCCAGGGTCCCTGCGGCACATCCCAACCCAGAAATTCCCAAAGTACACCCCCTCCCTGGGCCACCAGGGAATGTGACACTGAGAACCTTAGTGAAAAGTATCACAGATACTTACCAAGAAAACCATCCAAGGGGAGGGGTGGCTAGTGAAAAAAAAAGGGCTAAAGCTACTGTAGGCGAAGGCAACGTGATCAGCAAAGTAATTGACCTCAGCAAATTGAGCACTGTAAAATTAATAGAACCCTGCAAATGCCTAAAGACCACCCCATGCATGATTTTTGATGGAGAACAGTAGCTGCATTGTCTTGTGTTTAACCTAGCCTACATTACATTTAGCCACGTGCAATTAATATTATTGTTTTAATTATTCTTAACACCTGGTGTCGCTTCTGTCAGTCCAGTCTGGTAACAGTAAATTTATGATGATCTATTTGGAAAAGCTGTGTTGTATTCAAAAAGATGCAAGTTGTGAGAAGTCACATCTCACTCTGGCTGATGAAAAACCTTTTGAAGAAGCTTTATACTTTCTTCTTAACAACCATAACTGACTTAATATATTGTGCCGTTAGCCTGAGAAAACACCCAATATTTCATGATACCGCCTCTGGTTTCCCCTGAAAATGATGTCTGAGGAACGTCAGTGCAGAAATTCCATACCGATGATGTGTCGACACTACCCTGATCTGGGCATTAGTGACACATCACCAGTTGAAAATTTGCTTCATCCAATCAGGATAGTGATTTCTCATCCAGGGATGAGGAATTTCTGTGCTTATTCCTCAGACATCATTTTGCAGGGTATCTGCTGGTGACATCACAAAATATTGGCTTTTTTCTCAGGCTATTGTGCCAAAATTAATGGTGGGGGTATGAAGTTGCTTAAATTCATTTTGAGAAATAATGACTGTGGGCTTACTTGGCAAAATGACCTGGTTACTTTTTGAAAACCTGGTGAAAAAATTCTTCATATTGCAATCTGGTTAAAGGAGTTAATTAGTATCAGCTGCCGGTCTCAATTTAGACTTTTCAGGGCTTCTGATTATTCGCGCGGTCGCGGACCCGCGAAATTCAGGTATTTCCGCGAAATTCCCAAAAAAACACGAAATACCGCGAAATCCGCCAGAAATATTTCCAAATACGTGTCGGCAAAACACATTTAATACTTATCTTGGCTATTAGACCTGTACTATTCACCTCAAACATCCAAATTTATCTTGAAACTTCGTCACTGCAACGAGTAAACAACGTCTCAAAACTACCAGGCGTCTTAGATGAACGTTGCGAAAAACTGGGCACTAACCATAATGTTAACAGCTTTAGCATTCGCTCATTTCTCGAGCGAACTGTTGTTGAAAGAGCAAGTGATTATCCCTGTTAAAAAAAACCTTAAACAATGCTGGTCATATCGACGCAAAATTGATCGATTTTAGCGAAATTTGCCAAAAACATCCAGCGTAATCGGCTGTTTTTTACTGACTGTTTCTTGGCGAAGTTTCCCCCAAAAATTTCCCGTGAAATCGGCCGATTTTTCTAAGAATTCGCCCCAAAAATCCTTCGAAATTTGACTTTTTCCGCTAAAATCCCGCGAAATCGGCCGATTTTTCTGCAAATTTTGACTTTTCTCCCGCGAAAATCACGTGAAATGGGCCGATTTTTGAGCGAATTTTGACTTTTTTCCCGCGAAATCGGCCGATTTTTCCACGAATTTGCCCCTGAAAATCCCACGAAATTTTGCTTTTTTTCCGCGAAATATCAGAAGCCCTGACTTTTACAAAAACATTCAATGTCACACAGTTTTACAAGTCTTTTCACTCACTTGGGTTGTTCTTAACTCTCGCCTTAGACAGTTAGAGTGACTTACAAAATTTGACCCTGTTTTTATTATTATTATTATTATTACTGATAAAAAGAGGTCAACTTCTTAAAAGTCTTGACTCAGTTGTGTTAAGAAAGAAAAGCTGAACTTGGAGCGAAACAAGGTATTATAGAAACCAGGAGCCTATTACTCCTGTCGAAATTGTTGTACTTGCGGCAATGCTACTGAGCCAAAATTTGAACCATTCTCCCACCTAGGCGGAGACTGATTGACTGATTGTTGGATTGATAATTTTAACCTGGGGTCAATTTAATAAAACTTTTACAAGCGTAATTTTCAAGTGTAGCTATTGTTTTCAGACTCTGTTTAAAACAGTGGCTACACTTGTAAATTACACTTGTAAAAGTTTTATTAAATTGACCACTGCATTAAACCACCTCGCGGTTTAAAACAACCTAACCTGGTTAAAAATTCTATTGTTCTTGCTTGATTTGCATAACCCAGTTAGAACGGAGTCAAGACTGTAGAAAACCTGGTCACACTCGCATTTTTTAAATGAATTAACCTTAATAAGTTAATTGGAAATAATTCGGTTAAGTCCCCTAATGTGGCCGCAGCCAATAAGTTCCTGATCGCAACTAGGGCTTTGTGGATTGAGAATTTGAGTCAATATAAGATTCTGTAAATAAGGGCCAACCTACCCCTTCCCGAAATCCAACATATTGCCCTAACTATGATTCAATTACATGTAAGAATATATTAATGTTGGGTAATGGTAGGAGATTTTAATATGGTGATTAACATTTGTATTATGATTTTGATAAATTTTAAATTAATCTAATGGTGAAGTTCCAAGTTTCAAGTATATTAATTTGTAATATTCACACCTCACTGAAGTTACAGTTAATAAAATACTTATGCACCTATCAATGTCATGCCTGTGGGGGGGGGGGACAGGGCATGGGGTGGGGATTTGATTGTCTTGGTTGGCCCTGGGGTAGGGCATTTGACTGATCTTGTTCTCCCAGGGGAGGGGATATTTGAATCTTTCGACATATTTGACAGCCGACTCAGACGAAAAAGACTGAGACCGAACATACTGTATGTTTCCCGCTTCCACGCTTCACGCATGTGCCATATGGTCTCGAAAGATTGGGACATCTTTGAGGCCAATTGGGAACTAGCGAAAGCTGAGTGGATTTCACTGTTTTGTCTTCAAATTTTGTTTGTTTTAGCGTGTTTCTGATCAATTGAACCTCTTAAGATACTGTGGTATAAAAGTAAACGGACGTAAAGAGAAACCAATTCGATTCTTGCAAGTACAATAATTGTATGGCTCATTCGCTACAATCACTGTATAAAGCTTGTAAAACTGACTTTCTTTGTACCTAAACTAAGAATGGTATATTTAAATGTGGACTTTCTCCTGAAAGGTTTCTGTATTCTATGCAGTGTAACACGAATTATGGTTTAAACGTATAATTGCAGCTGTAACAGGAACGTGTATCTTTGGTGATGCAGCAACGTTTATAAATAAAGATTGGAGAGTTTTATTTGGAGATATTTTCATTGTGCCTTTCTTGGGTTCTGCTTTGGGATATTTGATAGCAATGTGCAGCCCGGGGTGGGGAAATTTGGTTGCATTTGACTGGAATGATTTGCCTATGGGCAGGGAATTTGACGGCAAATTTTTGAAAAATGTCAAATCCCCACTCCATGCCCTGCCTCCCTCCCCCCCTCCTGCCCCAACCGCTTTACATTGATAGGTGCATTAATATATTTGCATTAATTACTTTTTTAATAATTTCATTGTTAATTAAATTAAGTAATAAATAATTATTATTATGATGATAACAATGAAATATGAGTTAGTTAAAATATTATTATTAATTTTATGCTGTGGACAAATTCAATATCACTGTTACAGTGCATGTTTATTGTTATAATATATTTTCAACTATGGAAATTTGATATCATTCCTTAACTAAATATTGTAAGTTACTGTATGGAATGTTTATTATATGACTTTGGTAATTATGATGATAGTTACTATGAGTGTGATTCAGATGATGATGATGATGATAAAATTAATAAGATTATAGTATTATCAATATTGGTATTACAATAATATTACAAACTGTAACATAATTTTCATAAAAATGATACCAGGAAACTTGAAGCCAACTGGAAAGTAATCAGAGATGAAGGATTGTCTGTACTTGATAAGAAAACTGGAGGGTTTATACCTGAGGAAGAGAATCTACGCCAGCAGGGAGATTGGAAACAATTTACTATGTACCAGCGTGGCAGGAAGAATGCAGCAGCTTGCCAAAAGACCCCACAAACTTGTGCTATCATTGATACTATACACGATGCTACCAGCTGTAAGAGAGGACAGGTAAACTCTCTCACATTGTTTAACCCCAAATAAAGTGAATTGCATTACCCTACTTCCTATACTTTGATAAAAATCAGATCAATTTAGGTTTCTGGGAAACTGCCCACCTACTCCTCCCTTAAGCTAACATTAACACTTACTTCTTACTTAGGGCAAAATGATAGCTTAGGGGAGGGTAGCCTTCCACGCAGGCATTTTTAGGGGAGCTTGTATTTCGTCCCTCCCCACAAACGCCTGCTCAACCGAGGACAACATTCCTTTCCCACACTTAGCCAATCACATTGTACTTTCCAAATTCTGGAAAGTTGACCTTGACCGCAGGGTAACCCGATAATTATGCAATCTGCATGAAACTTTGAGAAACCTTCATGACCTCTAATAAATGTTAGTCTCAGAGCAGCAAAAGTAAGATTTACTCAGTTAGAGTTTAGAATTTTCTGTGCACTGCATAACCTTTGCGAAGGAAAAAAAAGAAGGAAAAAGGTACCTCTAGGATCACGTTCTGGGTCATGTTTTTTCACTAGGGTCACGCTTTTTCACTATCACGAGTTTATGAGTCATGTTTAGCCTGTGAACACGTTATTTAAAAGCCGTTGATTGGTCACTTACCACGCAAATGTAACAATGGAAAAGGAATGTTGTCCTCGGTTGAGCAGGCATTTGTTGGGAGGGAAGAAATACGAGCTCCCGTAAAAACACCTGCGTGGGAGGCTAAGGGGATGGGTAGGTGGGCAGTTTCCCAGAAACCTAAATTGATCCTAAAAATCACTAAATTTTAATGAGAGGGCACATACCAAACTGAAACCACCTAGTAAGCTTGTTTGGATTTGAAAAGAACCTGTCTGCCAAGTAGGAGGCTGCTGGTTCTAAACCTAGCCAGAGCAACACTCAAGGTCTTTATTTAAATAACTGAGCAGAAAATGCTGCCTTTGTGAAGACATCTGCAAACAGTTAGACTTTCTAGTCCTCTTGAATAAGGACAATAAACTGTGGGCCCTGTCTCACAACCCTTGCATCTACAAATTCTGTGGGATGATGAAGAACCCATGCTCTGTCCATAAAAGTAGGGGACATAGTCCCTGGTGTGGTGGTCCATGTCTCATTGGGGAGAGACTGTTACAGGCCCACAGTACATAGTTGGTGTCAAGTGTCGTTGATTACTGCTTCAAATTTCTGATTTAAAGAATGTTGGAAATCATGTCAGTTGCTAATTTTAGAAAGGAGAAACACAGTGTTCTTATGTCTGCAGCCTACTCCCTCATTTTTTCAATCATTCTTTCCTATAGATCAAGTATTCCGTGATGCTTCCAGGAACTCATGTTTGGCCACATACTGGTCCCACAAACTGCCGCTTACGCCTTCATCTTGGACTTGTGATCCCCAAACATGTAGCCATCAGGGTCGGCAGAGAAACAAAGTAAGGCTTACAAACCCTAACTATACCTATAAACATGTCAGTCACCATGTTTAAAAATGTAATATCTGGGTACCGTAAATCCTCTATTCAACACCTCGAGGAGGGGGGGGGCCAAATAGAGACCGGGGGGCTTATTTAATTTAGCAAAGAAGATGATATCAGTACTCCATAAAGAACTAGAATGAAAAGTGGAAAAGCTCAAGTACAAGAAGTTGGAAGTCACGCAGCTGAGGTTCGAAAACAAATCAGAACTTCCAGCTGGTGAATAAAGCATCCTAGATCAGTCCAAACAACGGTCTACAGTCGCAATAGACTCCTGCGGGAGCCTCCTGACAGTTGTGATTGATTAATACAGTCTATCATTTATCAGCAAATATTAATAAGGGGGAGGGGAGGGGAGGGAGGGGAGCTTAATAGGGGATTTATTGTACATATGTAGTTAATAAGTAAAGATGAAATGTTGAGAATGTCAAAGGCTTATGAGACAAAGAAGATCTCCTGGAGGGGGGTACACCCCAAGGGGGTACTGCCATATTTGGGCTATATAGGTATGTGCTGCTCTGAAGGGTATGGTTTTCAAGCAGTTTACTTTAGGATAGGATATATAAATCAGAGCGTTTGGGTCTAGAATAGGGTATCATTTTTCAGGAAACTGATCAGTTTGTTGAAGATTAGTTTTTATCTAGACTAGGGAAACAGCTACTCTAGTATAGGGGGGATTTGGGGAGTTTACTCTAGTATAGGGTAGCAAAATTCAGCTGAACTAGCTCTGGTATAGGTTAAGGGTTCCAGGGTCCCAGCGACACATCCCCACCCAGAAATTCCTAAAGTCTAAAGTACCCCCCCCCAGGGGGTATACTATAGTGGGTTTGTTGGGTTTTCCACTACTGTGACCTGGGAACCCTTGGTCGACTGTACCAACACATGTTCAAGTGTACTTTTTTACCCTATTCTCTATGGTTAGCTCCAAAATATTCTTGAAATAATCAAATAATACTTCAAATAACAACATCATGTAAATGGCCTTACTAGAAACTGCTCTAAAAATTAACAGATTAATAATTTTTTTTACACCCATTTCATCAACAGAACATGGGAAGAAGGCAAGGCAATAATCATTGATGACTCATTTGATCATGAAGTGTGGCACAATGGATCAAGCTTTAGACTTATTTTAATTGTGGACTTTTGGCATCCAGACTTGACAGCCAGACAGAGGGCTTCATTGTCACCAATTTAACTACAGTTTTTATTTATTGATAAGAAAATTTAGGCATGCTGTAGACGTCAAGTCATTTTATTTTCGGCTATATCACTGACCTAGTCATTATCTGAGTAGGAACTTCTCACGTGAATGAAGAAGTGCGCCAGATGGCAAAATCCTGTTACTTCAACAGAGAATTAACCTGCTTTCTGACTTTGTGCTGCACTCCACCATCTGAATGCCTGGAACAGGCTAAAAAAGCATGAATAATGAAATCAATATAATTTGCAATGGCCAGTATTAATAATACTATTCTTTGAAAAAAGTTTTTTTTTAATATTAATATTATTGGCATAAAGGTGGAAAGCCGGACCTACAACTGTATCTTCCCTTGATATATAATATAGAATCTTTAGTTTACAAAACAGTGAAACTGGTATATGTAGTTGCATAGAGTTATGTTTAAGATGTTACATGGTAACAATTTTATCAATGGATCTTAGGCATTTTATCTACTTGGCTGTTGCTACAGTACGTTATAATCACATTTTTTTGAAGTTAACTGTAGATGCTCAATCATGCCTTTTAACAAATCTTAGATTTATCTTTAAATTTTTATTATTTGTTGATATTATTAAATTTACAAGCATTTTAGTAATATTTGTAGTGTATTCACTGAGTTTGAATGAGGACGAGATTAAGTCTTATGGCGGTTAAAGGAACCTTTGAGGCTGAATCAGAAATTTTTTAGGGGGGGAACATTAATTTTTAAGTGAATTCTTCAGGGGTTCACATAGAGTTTGTCCTAATTTTTTGAGAAAAGTACTTTAGCATATTTGTATTAAGGAAGTCTTAAGGGGTGAATGCAACATTGTTGCATTGTTCAGGGGTAAGAAAAACTGCTTATTACTCAACTAGAGGAGTTCAGCAATTGAGATTAATACAACAGTCCCTTATCTTGAATTTTTATCTGCTTATTTCAATATCTTAAGCTTTGTCAACTTGAATCTTATGTTTGGCATAAATGGGATTCCAATCCTCCACTGCAATATTGGAAAGATCAAGTAGCCTTTGCCAGGGGCACCCAGCGACAATTTTCGGAAAAATATCTGTTCGGAAGATGATTTGAGATCTAGAATTTTCGGAACATTTGTTGTAAAATTTCTTGCTTGCCTCCTTCTCCTAGGATTTTCGGACATCTAAAAAATGGTATAATTGCCTATTTTTAACGGATTTTTACCCTAAAAGGGTCACCTAGAATTTTCGGGAGCCTTTTTTCTGGCTAAAATTTTCGAAAAGTTAAGTTTTGATCCCTATAATTTTCGGATCACTTGACTTTCAGCTAGGAAATCCGAACAGATGAAAAATTTTCAGGGGATAAAAACATGCCTATATCTACCGTTTAAATACTAAAATACGTTTAACAATTCTATGTTTAAGTGGTTTTGAACTATATTCTCGTTGGGTGCCCCTACTTTGCTTGCTGGGTCATGACATTCTCAGACAAAAAGAAAACATTTCTTCAAGCACAAACCTTGGGTGCCACTTGTAATGCTATGCATATTCTGGATGCCCTGTAATGTTGTTTTTTGGGGGAGAGGGGCAGTCACCATTTTGATCTTACGGTTGAGTTCAGTTTATAATATGGTGACAGAAGTGGGGTAGTTCCTGTACATATTTATTGGTTTACGACTGACTGCTTGGCTCCCTGCAAGTTTTTACTTACTAATAGGGTACAGTCTTAGCCTGTGTGCAAGCTCTCCATTTGGGGAATACTGTGGAAAGTCATGTGAGCATCAACAAGACAGGAAATGCAAGAGTCAGTGAGGGGTGGCCCTCACCAATAATATGGACAGCTTGCTCTCAGGCTAGCACACTCGTGACTTGAATACTGCACTAAACAAACATTTTAGTGGAAATATCGGTACTTTAATTTTCATCTCCTGTTTGTACCATAAATATGCAAAGCAGTAAGGAAACACCAGAGCATTCACTGCAACCGTTATTTTCCATTTACAAACCAAAGTGTTTGCAGTTCACCGTTCAAGATTCTCATTGTAAACTTTGTACGAAAAGCTACTTCTCAAACAACTACAAGTAAAAAATGGTGAATTCACCACATCACAGATTGCACTCTGAAAAGGCAAGTAGATGAAAAGAAAACATAAAGGCATTATTTCTTTGCCAAAGCATGCTAGGGTATTCTTTTGTTGGCAGCAAGTTGGGCAAAAACATCTACAAATTTAAAAATGTGTGTAAAACCGTGAAAAAACATCACGCAAGTGCCAAGTCCACCACAGAACGGCCCTCAAAAGACTTCAAAGAAATCAAACAATAGCTCTTTTATTTTGCTTCCAAACTCTTTACAACACAGCTGCACCACTTCCTGCTCGACAAGTGTTCATGTCCTGCATAAAACGCCAAGTATCTGTGTCAGGATCATAAACTTCCACACTGGAGAGTCTATGTGCTCCATCAAATCCCCCCAGCACAAATATCTTGTTGTCATAAACTGCCACTGAAGGCCATGCTCGGGGTGTGTTCAAGGGTGCTATAGGCTGCCACTGATGGGTCTGGGGGTTGTATCTTTCGGCGAGATCAAAATAATGATCTGTACTTCTGTTGCGGCCACCTAGCGCATAGATGTATCCGTTAATGGTTGCCAGTGTCATGCCTGACCGTGCTTTTTCAAGTTCAGTGACAAAAGTCCAGGTGTCGGAATCAGGATCATAGCATTCAACACTTGCTCTGTCGCTATGCACTCCACGGTCATAGCCCCCTGCAATGAATATCTTCCCTGCAATAGAAAAGCAAACAACTTGCTCTTTCAATAATACAAAGCATTTAAAAAGTGTCTGAGATAACATGGGCAGATTTTTGTGGTCCACGGGCACCAATTTTTGTGTGAAATTTTGTATTATTTTTAAAGAATAATAACTATGTAGTTGGCAAGTGTTCCTTTTTCTACAGCAGCGTGACAACAATGTTGACATGTCTGGTCTAATAGTTAACACATCACACATTGGATCTTTAGATCTGGATTAAAGTCTTGCCATTGCATAGTTTCTTTGGGTAGTAGAGTCTCCATCCACCCACTTGTAAATGTACAGTGTTGCTGTTTCAATGAAGGTTGCTTTTAGGCATTGGGAATTGTGCACTGAGAAGCTATTGTTTAGTGGTCACTCAAGCAAATCATTGCAGTGAGCTTGGTATACCCATCGCCCAAATTTCCAATGACCAATTGCCAAAGCAACCGTTTACTGGAGGTAACCATGGAATAGCATCCAATACTCCTAGGGCCCAGTTCAGACGTCGTGCTTCTGTTGTCAGAAGCGCAGCGTCTGAATCAAACTTTTGAATTAAGTTCGGCAAGCAATTAAGTTCGACAAGCGCTGCCGTGCTACACAGCTCTGGCACGGCAGCGATTCAAACGTCATGCTTCTGCCGCGCTAAACAAAATACATAAATTATATTAAAGTATTTTGGCAAGACTGCGTTCCCATGGGGAGTTGGAAGAAGAATTGTTACGAGGCATCAGTAAATCGTGAATTTGGTTCGACTCTGGCACGACGTCTGAATCAAAGTTGTTTTCCTGCTGTGCTACAGTTGAACCAAATTACAATTAAGTTCGGCACGGCAGAAGCACGACGTCTGAACTGGGCCTAAGTGCTTTATTCTACAGAAACTGCAATAAGCCCTGGCCATCTGGGCCCATTGTTTGAAGCATGATTTTGCAATTGTGTTGCCTAGGTTTGATAATAGTCTAATACTTTGCAAAATAACTCATGGTTGCAAGGTTACTTCAGGGAACACTGCACTAAATTTTTTCAAACTTTTTACAATGAAATCTTGCATTACAACAAAACCTGTGAGGTAACTCTTGATCATTTGAAAAGCTATATCAAAAAGAGTGTTTCATCCAATGCACTTCTTGTTGTCCACATATCAGATAAAACATGGTGTTCTGTTCTGTTGGTTTCTTTCTCCTAGATCTGGAGTCCCAAAATCACAGCACATTCTTACAAGGCAAAGGACCCCTCCCATTACGAACATACCCTCAAAAGTTCAGAAATTCAACATCTGAATCACGATCATTTTCCTCTCCTTAAAGGGCCTCAAAAGCTGATTCAAAGTATGATATGTACTATATTCAAAATAGCCTGTGAGCAAGCTCTCCACGGTGCTCTGACGGCAGGGAAAGCTTGCCACTATGTCTCTGGAATTGAATATCTCCATCGAAAACGCTGATGCAAAATGCTGGTTGGCGGGGAATGTCATTAGCAATGACGTCACTATCCTAGGAACGTGTTTTTCAATGTCTGTTTATGTTCGCACTTGTTTCCGCATCACACTGATTGGTGGAAATCTGACAGCTCAGTTGACAGGGAGCCACAGGTGAGTTAGAGGTGGAATTCAAATTCCAGAGACATAGTAGTAAGCTCTCCTTCCTTTTCCTGTCCCACTACCAGAGTGCCCCGGAGAGCTTGCTTGCAGGCTATATTGAAAAAAAATTAACTATAGTCATAAAACTTGACATCTCAGAAATTAAAATAGCATGGTCAAACCTCCCTGTATTATCACCTTTCATAAGCAATCACCAATTTGAAACCTTCAAAATCTGTTTTCTGTCAGTTACTGTAAATCCTCTATTAAGCCTCTCAGGGGGCTTATTTATTTCAAGCCCATCGAGCTGGGGGGCTTCTCCAATTATAATAGAAAAGCCGATGGTATCAGTTGTCCATAAAGAACTAGAATACAGAGTGGAAAAGCTCAAGAACAAGAAGGTTGGAGGTCATGCAGCTGAGGATCAGTCCACACGAAGTTTTACAGTCATGATTGATTAACACAGTCTCTTATTTATTCGTGAAGAGTAACTAGGGGAGAAGAAGTGGGGTTAATAGAGAGGGAGGGCTTATTAGAGGGAGGGGCATATTTGAGGCGGGGGGGGAGGGCTTAATAGAGGATTTACGGTAATACAGTGTAGATAGAACCTTATGAGAAAAACCACAAGGTAATGTGCAAATCTTCGCATTTTGGATGGTTTCTTGCAGGAGGTTCGACTATTTTACAGTTGGGCTCATGACACAAACCGTCACAAACAGCAACTCCTGCTCCGGATCTCTTTCGTCGCATGCATTGCACAGTACTCCAGTGATCTGTTTTTGGGTCGTATCTCTCAACATAGTTATAACTGCAAGTTCTGTCTTCACCGCCAAGGGCATACAGGTAGCCATTTAATGCCGTCACTGCAACAAACGACCTCTGAATAGCAATGTCAGCTAATGAAATCCAATGGTTTACAGCTGGATCATAACATTCAACATGTCGCACATACATGGTGTCATCATGTGGGGTGCTAACTGCACACTCTCCACCCACTACATAAAGCAAACCATTGAGACTGCAAGCACCAACTGCAGTTCTAGGATATTTCATGCTTGCCAATAAGGTCCATTGGTTAGTTAGGGTATCATATCTTTCTAAGCTCGAAAGCTGGCAATCAACGGCGTTTCGACCACCGATCGCGTAAACAGCTTGCGGTTGAGCGCGTGGAAGTGTCATATATCGCGGGAGATTGCGGGCACTTTCGTTAAGCACTTTGGCCAGAAAGAGTTGGCAGTCGGCATTGTTCTTGATGATTTTCGAAGGAAAAACTCGCGCTTCCAGGAACTCAAGAGTTAAGAGAGGAACTCTTACATTGGTTAACAATTCAACTGCGTAATCCTTACGTCGGCAAAAATCATGCAAAATCCACGCTTCGACAGCTTCGAACACTTGGTTTTCAGATCGAACCTGAAGAAGGTCTTCCCTCAAGAGATTCCGCAACGCTTGCTTGGGTAGTTGTAAGAATTCATCACACTTGACTACATCCAAGAAGTGTTGACGAACAAAACGATAGGCAGCTTCCTCAAGTTCGGAGCAAGAATACAAATCGGCGAACGCCCGAATCCCAAGACAGTTCGATGCATCAAGGTGTGTCTGAAGAAAACCACAACAAACAGTTCTGAGGCTTTGCAAGTTCAACAGGGAAGCGGCGGATAGCAGCGCCTGTACGTTCTCTACCGTTACATCGATGGAGCCTGTATAAGCAAAATTCAGTAAACTTTCCATCACACTCGCTTCTACCCCTTGTAACTTTATATCTTTCATGCCACTTTCCAACATGCCGTTTGTAAACATTGCTCGCAAGTAAGAACTCGCTCCCGCCAGCACAATTTTATGCGCGGGAAATTCGTGTCCATCCACATGCAAGACAACATCGCAAAGCTCGCCTTTCCTTCGAAGATCGTTCATGGTTTTTAACGCATCGTTAGAATGCAGAGGGATGTTAAATCTGCGATGCGACGCCATGGCGTACTCCTCGGTATTAATATTTTTCCCTCTTCGAATATCACGTTCGAAACATCATTTCAGGTTCCTTGTTTTGCTCGTTTTTCCTTTCGTAATGACCAAAATAAGACGCCATCTGATTGGTTCGTGTGCGTAATGAGCCAAAATAACAACACAATTGATTGGTTCGTAATCAACTAATTTTGTGCATTGCCGCTGGACATTTAGAAACCAACTGTTGTCTCGGGAAAAGTGCGACAAGGCTTCACTAACGACAAAAAATTGGGTACGGTAACTAAATAAATAAACTAGAAGCTTTGAGAGCAAGTACTGTTTTTGGGACCTACTGGTACAAATAAACTCCCTTGCCGGGAGCATAATATTACCGGAAATGAGATTGCAATCTGATATTATCGCGAAAATATGAAAGAGCCAGTATCTAAAGGGAGTTGACGTTCGACGTTTTTCTCTCAATGTCTTTTTGCGAGGATGCGGCTGGATGCTCTTCCCTGAGGTCCATAAACCTTTTCTTTTATATACCAGGCATTAAAATAAAAAGGTACAACTCTCATTCTGGATCGGGGGCTAGGGTCGGAGAGGAATACTTTATTCGGCCTTGCTTCAACAATGATAGACTTTCAATATATTGTGAAATTTCGAAAATATTGAAGTCTAAAGGAATCAGCACATGCCCCGGGGCAAATATTTTTAAACACCTTTCTAAGAGCCTTATACACGGAGGGGTTCATTTTAGCTAAGGGCAAGAGAGGATCTTCCTCGCGTGAAACCTCCTCCCTCGCGCGCATAGTTTATCTCGGGCGTGCCTGATGTATGGCGTTGTCTCTAACCAGTGAGCCAGGATATCCTGGCCTTACCTTTCGTGTAAGAATAGCTAGCTATTTTGTAATTTCAAGTTAAACGGAAAAAGTCGATCTACCAACTGGTATAAGACTCTAAATACTCATTGCATTGTCTCCGGGGGGGATGAGGGACTAAACAAAGTTTTATACAGGAAGGCTCCACCTCGAGGATAAACCCCTTGCCCTTTAATATACCATTTGTGACAGAAAATTCACCCCTTCCTTATACCTTCTATTGACAAATGCTACCCATTTCACATCAGCAGTTTAGAACTTTTCATGATCATCCCTTCACTGCTGAAAATGCGCTGTCTTTAATATATGAATAAATCACAAAACCAGAACGTTTTGTCGACTCTATCACAACCATAAAACACGCCTGTTACAAACTGAAATGACAGATTTCCCCACCCTTTCATTTCACATACTTCAAAGTGTGAAATCCCTACCCTTTTATATACCTGAGGATGGTGCTCCCTCCGGGCGGAGCCTCCCCGTACGTATACGCAATTATAGGGGGTACCCCGGGGCCTTGTCTTGTCTAGTCCTCTCTTGCATAAGCCTAAGTAATCGTGTAACGGGGAATAGACATACCACATGATTTTTCTCACTGGTTTATAACTAATTTCAAGGCTTGATCATTAGCGGTCAGCGGTCAGCGATGATGATGGCCGCGTTTTTTGAAGCTGGATAGTTTGCGTTATTTGTTGCCTTTTTGTGTCTTTAAATACTTACGTTTTTTTCGTGTAAGAGTTCCTGTGTAAAAGTTCCTGTTGTCTTTTATTTGAATATGTCAAAGAAAGGAAAGAAGCAAGACAGCACTTAAAAAATATTATCTTCCTCAGTATTGACTGTGTGCGTGTGTGTGTGTGCGTGCGTGCGTGTTTGTGTTTTAATGAATAACAAAACTACAAAAGAATAAAGTCAATCTTGTAAAAGGGGCATAATTAGTTTCACTATAATGTGCCCTTCTCCATTCTAATTTTCTTCTTTTATTATTATTATTATGTACACGTAGTTTAAGCAACTTTGTACCAATTGATATTGTACAACTAATGTATTATTGATATTGTACAACTATTGTATTATTGTACAACTAATGTATTATAGGATGGAGTAAAAATAAAATACAAATACAATACAAAATAATAACGGAAGGTAAATTAGCGAGCACAAAATAGAATATATCATATATACAGGAGCCGATTATTCGGCTCCTGATATATACCAGCTGCGGGGGCAGCGAAAGTGGGGTCGAGACATGGGCGGGACAGAGGACAGTTCTAGAAGACTGCGCCTTTCGGCCGGTTGCAAAAGGTTACTATACTACTTTTCTCTTTATAACTTCTTAAATGTCTTCATGTGGTGAAAGCCTGCATAAGGGAGCTTGAGCAAAAGCGTTTTTAGAACCACGTCAACCGGAAATGAAGCCTTTTTATTGTTAATATGCCTTGACGATAACAGTTTTGTATTTAGTGCTTTAATTTTTCACTCAGTATTGAGACGATGAATCAAAGCACTAGCTGCCGGCCCAAGAATCCAGTTGACGTACGTCGCTCAAAGACGCCGATGCCTGTGGGCGGAAATTCTTTGGTGAATATTTCATAACCACACTCTTTTTTTATAAGAATGTTGTTTTTCCGGCCCAGGATGAATATTCTTATTTTTCGGACGATTTTAGGCTGAAAATATTCTTGTGTTATTCTTAGATTAAAGCTTATGACATTTCCGTTTTAGAATATATTGGGGAGTATCAATAATAGTCAGCGCAGGTTTTTTCGTTTCACCTCTTTCCTAGTTTTCCCTTTAGAGAATGAAATAAGTTGAAAACATATAATTGTAATGTATTTACAGCTTTGGAACACACAAAAATGTATCCTGGGCTTTTCAATATCTCAGCCTGGTGTTTATTCTTAAAATATTCTTAAAATTTCGCAAATTTCAGCCTCGATATTCTTATAAAATATATTCTTGTTGAAAAAAAAGAGTGTATGGTAGGTATGACCATTAAGATAACACATCTTTGCACAATTACGAGTAAATTTGCGGTTTTTCTTTAATTTTATCCGACTACCAGCACTTTTAGGAGTTAAAGCCTCTAGTTTCCTAATTCGGCGCTGATGCGTCCGATCACTGTACTTGTTGTCCATTCATTACGTGCCGAGATTTTAAAGTAGCAAAAAAAAAATTCTTCAGTCGAACCTCTACGAGCAACCACCTCTCGTATGCGACCACCTACCTATCAAAAACACCAAAATTTTCCCTGTAAAATCTCATTGCTGGAACCTCTCGTAAACATATGGTAAACGACCACCTCTCGTAGGCGACCACGACTCCTTTTTGCGATGACGTCTTGTTTTCTACTCTCGGTAAGAGACCACTTAAGGCAAGGTTTTATTTCAATGATCGTTGTTTATGTACTACAGTTCTGGGAGTACGCTATATACTTTAAGAGACTAGTAATAACCAAAGGTTAGGGAATGCGAGGGACACCGGTGAGAGGTCCAAACGCTTTTGCTCGAACGCTGTGCTCTGCGCAAGTTTCACGTGACAGATGGTCAAAAACAGGCGTGATTAGATTATGAGGGGTAGAAGGTCGAAACGCGCGTGATCAAATTGCGTTCTGTGCATTCAATTTATTCTTAGTGGAAGTCCAAACGAATGCTAGCGCTGCTTACATACATGCGACGCATGCGTCATAACAACCTGGAGACTAGGTTTGCAGACTCCTCTTGTCGCCCACAACAACGTGAAACTTAACACATATTAAAAAAATCGAAACTTGGAAATTGCAGGCAATGAATTTTCTTCCAAAATGTAGCTTGTAGGAAGTTCTAGCTTCTTGGCTTTCTACTCTCGTAAGCAACTGACCAAGTCGTCTCATGCACTTTTTGGTTGGTCGCTTACGGAAGGTTTTCTGTATTGTAATTGCAGAAACAACTTTATGACTGTAGAGAAATTCCATTTCTAGATTTCTATTTCTTCTTTTATATGTCATATGTTGTTTTTGCTGCTTTTTTCTTTTAGTTTTGGGTGGGGAGGGGGTGGTGGGGGAGAGAGTTGTGTTTTTGTCCGAAGCTTGTTATTCTTCCTTTAACAAATCGTACACAATTTCTTTTGTCTTGACTCCAAAATCGACCAATAAGCGCGAGAGACACTGATCTGCAATGTTTGTAAAACGGGTTATTGCGTAGTTTCTTCGTATGTCTTATTGGCGCAGGCAAATGACGTCACACTATTCGTAGAACTCAATACACCAACTGCGCTGTAACGGTTGAATTGACCAATCAGAATCAGTATCACTCAGTCGTATTTACCATAATCAGTTATCTAAAGTAGCAAATGATATAATTACAATTTTATTCGACACTTCGCATGCAGTTTTGTTCATCGAATGAATCGCGTTTCAAATTGAGGTGGTAAGTACTATGAACAGTTATGTAGTTTATCCTTTTAGACCGAGAACTTTCGAGAACCAAAATAACTTTTTGTAATATTTTAGTTTAGTAACAGAGAAGTAGGGAAACCGTGAAAGAAAGTTATATTACTCAAAGTTCACATGAATTAAAGTAGTTTGAGGAAATGTGATTTTAAAGGACGACTGTAGAATAGTAAAAAGGATTACGCAACATTTTATGAAAACTACCCACTTATTTACTTCTTTCTGAATGTGAATTTAAGAAATAATGGTGTATAATTTATAACTAAGGCCGATAAAGCTAATGAACGTTAGATTTGATCTTCGCAGTTGTACCGCCAACCATTACGGGGGCGGTTAAATTGAAAAGAGTGGAGAAAACTCTCAGATTTTAGGGAGAATCAAATTTTTTGTAGGCTAACTTCAAAATATTTTTAAAATTTTATTTGCACGGTTAGATTAGGGCGATTTCGTAGGACACAGGGAGACCTTTGGCTGAAGGATTTTATGAATTCACCCTTGGGGGCATTTTAGTACAAAAATGAAAGATTTTTGTGTTTTGGGTCAGAATTATTATTAATCCGACGTTTTTGAAAACGAAAACTGTATTTGCAAACCTGAGGAAGAATTTGATCTGATTCGATTGTATTGCAAAGTGTAGGAGCAAATATTCACATTGCTGATCCAACTTTTTAAAACACTTTGAGTTAATAGCTTTTGTTTCTTGCATAAGTTAATAGTAGCTAGCTTCTGAAAAACAATCTAATGTACCTCATTTAAATCATTATGTCTTGGTAACAAACGGATCGTTTTAAGAATGTGACAACTAGATGAAGTCTTTATGAAGATATTGTTATCAGTTGCTAATGCATATTTATATAATTTATAAAGCCTGTTGATATTTTAATCAGGGCTAGTGAAAAAAAAAACTAAACTGAGCAAAAACAAAAACACAAAAACGGGAAGTGA